TCTTATAAAACTCATTATTGAATCCATCAGTTCCAGGACTTTTATTGGTTTTCAATTGTAAAATAGCCTCGTTGGTCTCTTGCACAGTAATAGGAGCATCAGTTGCTTCAGTAAGACTCATCTGAGTTCAATTTATTTCTTTTAAATATGCATCTATCTCTTCTATATCTAATTCCTTCTTTATTTTCTGAATATAGACCTTTATAAAATGAAGCAACTGCATCTGCTATTTCCTTTGGTTTAAAAATAAAGGGTTTATTAGAATCATTAGTCCTGATTTTTTTAAGTGAGCTGGAATGCAAGTACGGTAGTTTACTCGCCCTAGAGCCATACTCATAGAAATTTTGTTTTAGAAATCTTAAGTTCCGTTATACCTGGTCAGTGAGCAGTTCATCCAATTTCCTTCTCGCTTCTGTAAGCTGAATTCAATTTTCCGCGGTAATGTTCTGTTTGTGTTGCTCTTCCAGCTTACAAATGTTATTTTCTAATTCAATATGCTTAGTTATTTTTGTTTTCTTTAAAGCAGATGCATAAAGCGATCACTCCACCCCTTAAAACTGCTTCCGCTGCCTCCCAGAGAATGACCGCAAATACATCTCCGGTATTATTCATATCTTGGTAATATTTAAACTCGGATTCAATATATGTTTGAAATGCTGGGTGTCCTAACAAAGAAGTGTTTAACCGCCACAATTTCGTAGAAGCATCCCCTTCCATATCCCAAACTAACGACACTGGCGCATGATCGGATAATGTAATGTTGGGAATTTTACAGTCAATAACTCTGTATGTTTCATCTCCAGAAACGAAAAAAATGGTAAATTCTAGAGTATGAGTTATGTGAATGAGTGTAAAAAGTGAAGTCTCTGTCTCTAGGATGTAGGTGTCTCCAGATATCAATCATTCCTGATTCCACACAGTTATTCTTCAAGGCCTCACTCGTTATAGAGAGGGGTTTATGCGTAAAAACTATCCAGTGGAGATAACACACAATTGAAGTCTCCACCCATAAGTAGCCGACCTTGAGCCTTTTCATTGACCAAACTGAACATTTTATTCATAAACTTGCCATTTATCTCATTGGATGCGTATATGTTAAACAATGATATCGTAAACCCTAGATAAAGAGCTATTAATTAGGATAAATCGCCCCTCATTGTCTGTATATTTTGAACATACACTGAATTGTACTGATTTATGAAACAATATTGCCACCCCCCTCCGACATCCTGATGAGTGGGAGGGGAAAAAAAAAACCTGAGAGACCCATGCACATTATTTTCTGTTGCGTGCATGTACTCTCAATGTGGCCAAGACCGCAAGTGTGGGTATTTGGACAGGCTCTGGATCTCCAGTAACAGGAGTGGGCACCACTGCCCTACAGTCTGAAGGACCTCACAGACACAGCACCCCAAATGCAAGAACGCTGGTATCAAGTGTGCCGTTTCAGACAGGGCCTGAATCTGAGTAGTACTGGCTGTTCATGTGACCCCATATGCAGCTTTTTTCTACATCAGGTCACTGATGTCTATCTATCTATCTATCTATCTATCTATCTATCTATCTATCTATCTATCTATCTATCTAAAAAACAAAAACAAATGTTACGATTATCTTTTATTTATCTTTTCATTGTCTATATTCTCTAGTTTGTAAACTTCTGCTGCAAAGAGACAGCAAACCTCTGTATTCACCTGTAACTTGGGGTTAGGGTTTTGTTTCATGTTCTTGTTTTCATGTCTTTTATTTTGTAATTTGATTTATGATGTTGGTGTCATGCTTCCCTTGCCCTCGTGTATTTCTGCCCTGTGTATGTGTCATGGTCTCATTGGTTGGTTCTTGTCACGTGACCTGTATTGTTTGCTATAAGTAGCCATAATTTTGTCATTGTCTCTCGTCGTGTATTGATGTTGTAACCTACTGTCTGTGAGTCAAGTCATGTCAAGTCTCTGTTTGAATTACGTTTGGATTTTGGACTACTTTTTGAATAAACTGCACATGGGTTCTTAAACTCGCCTACAGTGGACTGATCGTTACATCGTCTTGTATCCATGTGTCCACCAAAACTGATCACAGAGAACTTCACAAAGCCAACATCCACGAAAGAGCTGCAATTGTCTAAAACTGTAATCACGGACACCAATGATAAAATGTGAAAATAAAACCTAGACCGATGGCGCATCAAGATGATCTTCAACATCTGCCCTCGCTGGAGAAATCACCTGACTTGAATACTATCGAACCACCGCGGGCAGTTTTGGGGAGGAGAGTGATAAGCAGATTCTGTCCTTTCTGAAACAACTGGCAGATGTTCAAATAGACAACATTCAAAAGGAGACCATTCATAAGTTGTATCAATCTATATTTTAAGAAGGTTGGAAGCTGTATTAATGGCAAATGATGCCAAAGCACTTTAATAAAGAAATACTGCCTATTTCCCAGGTGTTCACGTTATTTTGTCCAACCCCTTTATGTAGGCAATGACAATCTTGATTTTTTTTTACATTTTATTGTTGGCAATTTAATGAACGGTCATCTTGTCTGCAATGAGCAACATGTTACAAGTTTACTACTAGTAATAAGGGCTGGATTATGCAGTGGGCATTATGGGTACTGGTCATGCACCCATGCACACTTGGGGCCCAAGCGCGGGATGAAAACAGTGCAAATAGCCCACCTCATTGGCAGAGGCTATCTCTGCCCACCAATGTCTGGTTGGCATAGACAACATTACTAAAGACGTGCATCATGTAACAGGCTCAGGGGCGCGTTTCTATGTTTTAACGTGATCGACCGGAGTTCTAATCCACCTTTTGCCAAACTCATTGGCTGCATCTGAAATTGCATACTTCCCTAATATATAGTAGGATGAAAAACAGAATGTGAGCCGAGTGGTGTGGCGAGAAGTACCCGGATGACCTACTTCTTCCGCATTTGATGGACACCTTACTCTCCCATGAGGCCACGGGAGAGGATTTATGAATGGCAGTGAAGCAATGCAACTGACGCTGGTAGGTCATGTGACAGTAACAACATGGCAGATGTATTCATACTTCACACATTCATACTATGAACATACTTTTTTAATGGTTGTGAAGTAAATTCAAATGCAGTACCTACTCCAATAGTGTACGCGATTTCAGACGCACCGATTCTTCTATTTTTTATCAAATCATATCAAATCAGAAATGCATTTCTTTTCAATAAAAATAAAGGTAATATCTTTTTTTTATGGAAATATTATACTAGAAGAGGAGAGGAGGAGAGTAGAGAAAACAGAGGGAAAGGAGGAGAGACACAGCTAAAGAGAGCCAGCCTGAAATATGTGTGTGAATTATGGAAGAATCTGATTCATAGAACTGGATTGGTAGATATATGAGGCAGTATGTGCTTGCATATGCCAGTGAGTTACATTATGCAGGGAAATGTCTTGATATTGCTGCTGCTGGTCCAGGAAAGCATTGTTGCAATCATATGGTGTAAATCCTGTATGACGGAGAATGTGATATTGTCCTTCAGGCTGTGATCATATATGGAGCCAGATCGGTCTCAAAAATAATACATTTCTAAAACAAAATTCATAAATGCACAGCACAATTTACATTGACAAAATCCGATTCGTAAATTCAAAACACAATTCATAAATACAGAAGTAAAAGCATAAATAGTTCCCCAAATGCTCACACAAAAGCATCTTACCTAAATCAATTTAAAATGTTTACACAAATATGTATATATCAAGTTCTTGAATTAATTTCCATCATGTTCAACGCTGCGCTTGCACTGTGCCTTGTTTCTATGATCGGGTCCTTGATGTTAAGACATTTTAATGGGTACTCTTTTTTTAAGCACCTGATTACAATTTCTACAAAATCACATTATGATTTATATCGTCCGCACAAAATACAGCTACCCGGTTAGCCTGCTTCTCGAGTCTGTTCAGTAAAGAGCGTTTTGATTGGTGGATTAAAAGCTCACCGCGATTGGCATGAACGGAACATCCGCCGAAAAAAGATATTTATGAATCTTAACCTGCCAGGAAGGTCTCAAAAATACGGCACACAAACTCAAAGCAGTCCACGCACATGTGATGATTTGCAAATGCAGATTCAGCGATCCATAAAGACATGTAACATCATTCATAAATGTGTGATGGCAATTAATTCAAGAACTTGATATATACATATCTGTGTAAACATTTTAAATTGATTTAGGTAAGATGCTTTTGGGGAAATATTTATGCTTTTACTTCTGTATTTATGAATTGTGTTTTGAATTTACGAATCGGATTTTGTCAATGTAAATTGTGCTGTGCATTTATGAATTTTGTTTTATAAATGCATTATTTTTGAGGCCGATCTGGCTCCATAAGCAGTGTAAAATCCTGTATAAGCTAGAGGTGTTTTCCAACAAATAGTATGTATAATTCAAGACCTTGATTGTGTGTGTGTGTGTGTGTGTGTGTGTGTGGGGTGGGGGGGGGGGCTTTACAAGACATTGTGCCCAGGGGTGTCTGAATTCTTAATCTGGGCCTGAACATAGGCTACATTTGTGAACGCACATTTTCTGCAATGGCGCGCTGTGTGGGTGTGTGTGTGTGTGTGTGTGGGTGGATTTTGTCAATGTAAATTGTGCTGTGCATTTATGAATTTTGTTTTGTAAATGCATTATTTTTGAGGCCGATCTGGCTCCATAAGCAGTGTAAAATCCTGTATAAGCTAGAGGTGTTTTCCAACAAATAGTATAATTCAAGACATTGATTGTGTGTGTGT